CAGAACTCATTGTTTGATCCAAGATCATCAAGATCTACACCTATGTTTCCACCCAAGAGTTTTAGCCCTTCTGTTTAGGTCTGTGATCCCCTCTGAGTGAATTTTTATCTATGGTGTGAGGTAGGGGTCCCAATTCATTCTTCTGCATGTGGATATGCAGCTTTCCGGAGACTACTTGCTGAAAAAGACCATTCTTTCCCTCACTGAATTGATGACCTTGTTGAAAATCAATCGACCCTGGGGTGCTTGGGTGACTCAGCGGTTAAATGACTGATTCTTGATTTCGGCTCAGGTCATGATCTCAGGGTCAGGCTCTGAGCTCAGCAGGGACTCTGTTGGGATTCTTTCTCCCTCTCCCTCTGTCCTTCCCCACCCCTCTCCCCCTCAAATAAATAAATCTTAAAAAGAAAAGAAAACCAATTGACACTACATGTTTATTCTGAGCCCTCATTTCTATTCCATTGATCTACATATCTATTTCTACGCCAGGACCATGGTGCCTTAGTGACTGTAGCTGTTTTTTTTTGTTTTGTTTTGTTTTGTTTAAAGATTTTTTTATTTATTCATGAGAGACACACAGAGAGAGGCAGAGACACAGGCAGAGGGAGAAGCAGGTTCCCGCGGGGAGCCCGATGTGGGACTCGATCCCAGGACCCCAGGATCATGCCCTGAGCCAAAGGCAAAGTAGCCCTCAACCACTGAGCTACCCAGGCACCCGTTTTTTGTTTTTTAAGTAGGCTCCCCACCCAGTGTGGAGCACAACACAGAGCTTGGACTCATGACTTTGAGATTAAGACCCAAGCCAAGGGGATCCCTGGGTGGCGCAGCGGTTTGGCGCCTGCCTTTGGCCCAGGGCGCGATCCTGGAGACCCGGGATCGAGTCCCACGTCGGACTCCCGGTGCATGGAGCCTGCTTCTCCCTCTGCCTGTGTCTCTGCCTCTCTCTCTCTCTGTGACTATCATAGTCTCCAGGATCGCGCCCTGGGCCAAAGGCAGGTGCTAAACCGCTGCGCCACCCAGGGATCCCGTGACTGTAGCTTTGTAATACCATTGGGAAATTGCGACGTGCAACCCCCCCCACCCTTTGTCCTTTTTCAAGAGTGTTTTGGTTATTCTGGGTCCCTCAAATTCTCATATGAACTTCAGGATTAGCTTATCGGTTTCCCCAGCAAGGCCAGTTGGGATTTTGATAGGGACAAGATCGAGTCTGTAGTCCAATGTGGGGAATACTGCCATTTTAACACTATTAAGCCTTCCAACCCTATCCACAAATGCACTATCTTTCATCTATTTAGGCCTCCTTTAATTTCTTTCAGCAACACTTTGTTGTTTTTATAGTATAGGTTTTGCATCTCTTTGGGTAAATGCGTATTTTATTCTTTTTGATCAGTTGTAAATGGAATTGGTTTCTCAACCTCATTTTGTTTGTTCATTGCTATTGCATCCGAAGTACAGTGGATTTTTGTGTATCGATCCTGTATCCTGCAGCCCTGAGGAACGGGTTTACTACTTTTAATACTTTCTTAGTGGATTCCTTAAGATTTTCCAAATACAAAATGATGTCACGCACATGTAGAGCTAGATTTACTTCTTCCTTTCCAATCTGGGTGTGTCCGATTTCACTCTCTTGCCTAATTGCAGGTTATAACCTCCAGGACAGTGTTCATTAGGAATAGTGACAGCAGACATCCCCGTCTTGTTCTCGATGAGGGGGTGGGGGGTAGAGAAGAGATACAGTCTTTCACCATTAAGTATGACGTTAGCGATAGATGTCAGGTTGAAGAAGTGCCTTTCTATGCCTTGAGTGTTTTTATCACGCAGCGATGTTGAATTTTGTCACATGCTGCAGCCAAGATTCGAATTTATGTTTCTCTGACTCCGGAGCCCTGGTGTTTATCCGATACACTAAATTAGTGGACCCCCTGGAGGAGCCCCACATGGAATCCACTAAAGAGCAGGTGGTCAGCAAATGGAGTGTTCCCATCTGCCCCTTTTCTCTTTGGCATGTGAGGCAAACCTGCAAAGATAGAGACAAAGAGTGAGCAAGAGAGCACGTGTGCATCATGTTTAATTGGAGGGAATGTGTAATGATGGTGAAATTGCTGGCATAGGGGCAAACTTGCTGGGGAGACATTTTGGACCGGTCTTGTAGGGCTTTAAGGCTAGGTTCTGTGCAGACAATCCTGAACTTGGCATGAAGAGTCCTGTTTATATATGGTAATGGACAGCTGATAGTTCCCTTGCAGTTGCCTGGACAAAAACACGTCGGAGCTAATTACCAGGTTCTGGAAGACGCTGGGGCAGAGGCTGGGCTGGCAGGGAAGGAAGAAGCCTTCCCCACCCTCCTGCAGAAGATGGAAGTGTTCATTGACTGAACTTTTCATCCAACAGATGATGAGTCACACCCACAGCTTGCCAGGTGCTGTGGTCTGCAGACACAGAAGAGACCCAGAGCCCACCAGGCCCCACCTCCCCATCCGACTCATTCCCACAGTGTAGAACTTTGAGGCTTAAGCCATGCCCTGGGGAGAACATTCCCTCCCGGTTCTCTTTGAGCTTTGGCTTACAGGAAGTCTTGGTTTGGTGTTACCGAATCCTTAACACCTTTCTGACACTTGTCAAACTCCTGTGGCTGCCAGAAAGCTGTGACAGTATCAGACTAGAGTGTTCTGTTCTCCTTGTATTGATTTTTATGGTCACCTAGCTAGGTACCCTGGTTTTCCCACTTACAATGGCCTCATTTATCAAGAAACCTCTTCTAGGTTCGGTGCCAGGTGTTTGGCACGATGTAACCCATTTTACCCTCCCAAACACCCTAGGAGATACAGTTACTGTCCCCCATTTACAGATGGGCAAATGGGGTCAAAGCTCCTATGGGGAGACAGACAAAAAAAAAAAAAAAAAGCAAACTGACCAAAATATAAAATCAGTCCAAATTGTAATAAATACATTCATATTGACACAAAATGAATGTTAGCGGGATGGTCAGGGAGGGTCTCTCAGACAACCGAAGGAAGAGGGGTATCTGACCTTGGGAAGAGAAGGAGGAACAGTATCCTAGGCAGAGGGAACAGCCAATGCTAAGGCCTCGAGGATGGACTGTGCCATTTGCAAGAAACAGTGAAGAGGGGGTAGGGGTGGAGTGGGGCGAGCCAGGGGTACAGCTGGAAGTGAGGGCAGCCAGGTGACAGGGGCAGGTTGTTCAGGACCTTGTAGACCACAGGGAGGATGTGGGTTTCATACTCAGATACCATCTATCTCCTTCCCTGGATCATTAACGCCTGGAAGGCAGGAATTTTTTTTTTTTTTTAGCCTGTTTTGTTTACCTCTGTGTCTTCAACCTTTAAAACAGCAGGGCACACAGAGTGACGGCCTGGGCGGACCCGTTTCCTGGGCATATGCTGTACTGGATCTTACGCCCTTTCCTCTGCTGCTCCGGAGAACTCTCAGATGCGGTTGCCCCTTTAGCAGATGGGAACTGCGAGGCCAAGCGGCTTGTTCCAGGTCCCTCCCCTAATAGGTGGCGAGGCTGGGGCTCCTGCCACATGCAGCCTTCCAGAGCCTGCAGTCTCCCTTCACTCGGCCCTCACCGGGCACACACCGCCGCCAGAGAACCTACCGTGTATGAGAAACCATCATCAAGACGGGCTGGGTCTCCCTTGCCTGGATGAGAAAACTAAGGCCAGGCTGCCCCCGCTTAGGTCAGGGTCACGCAGCTAGGAAGGAGAACCAAATAGGCTCTGCAAACCTGGCCGCTGCACTGGCCGCCGGGAAACTCCGAGCTTAATTTAGGTTCCTTGTTTAATTATTCATTCTCTCCTCTCTCTCCTCCTGTTTATGACTTCCGCCTTCTCATTTTGTTCTCGGGGTTAATGCCTTTTGTTTATATCTGCATCTTTGGCCTGGAATGAATGAATCAACGATTTTGGAGGAAAAACCCAAACTCTAAACTTGTGTCCTTTTGTAGGTACAAGGCCCTGTCCAGATACACCCCTTGGAGAAATAAACCGCTTTCAGCGTGTGCAGAACTCACCCAGAAGCGCGCAATCTTGTTTGGTGTCTTTGGGCCCTCCGACCTCCCATGGCCATCCTTCCCCTTTGTTTGTTTCTTTTTTTTTTTTTTTTTCTCTCATTCCATTTTCAAGCCGCTAAGAAGACAGGCAGGGCGGCACACCATCACCAGTCCACCCGGAATTCCACTCTCTACCTTGCCCCACTTCACAGACAGGACACTGACCCCCAAAGGGACAACCCCGTTTTGCAGGCGGGAAAACTGAGGCTCCCGGAACCACCCACACAGCGACTCAGTGCCCGAGCTGGGGTTCCTGTGACGATTCATGCCGACTCCAGCCAGGGCAGCAGGGAACGGTAATGAGGGGGGAGGAAATAAATGCTCCCTCGTCCATTCGACCCATAAAAGGGATCCCCAGGCCCTTTGGAGTCACACCTTCGTGTGACCAGAATGAAAGCAGCCCTGATGGATCAGAGAGTGGGGCGCCGGGAGGCTGGTGGCGGCGACCCAGGAGGGCTTTTCCCGGGAGCTGCCATCGGAGCAGCAGCCGCAAGAAGGGGAGGCCCTCGGGGGAGCGCTCTTCCGGGCGAGGGGGGCCGAGCCGGGAGGGAGCCGGCGGGGCTGCAGCACGGGCACACGTGGGCGTACTCGAGGGGGGCTCGGGGGGCCACAGCGCGTGCCCCGCAAGCACCACGCCCCGGGGGCCGAGCGTCCCGGGGGTCGGACGCCGAGCAGCCGCCGGACGAGTCCTCGCGCCGCCGCCGCCCACGCGCCCCGCGCCCCCCGGCGCCCCGCGCCCCACGTGCTCTCGCGGCCCTTTAAACGCCCCGGGGCCACGTGACCCGCCCGCGCCCTCTCATTGGCCGGGGGGCGTGGCCGCCGCGCGGCTGCGCAGTGACGCGCGCGGCCCGGCCCCGCCCCGACCCCGCCCCCGGCCGGCGGCGGCGGCGGCGGCGGCGGCGGCGGCGGCGCTGGCGGAAGGGATGACGTCACCGGCTGGGGGGGCGCGCGAACCGGCGCGAGGGGAGCGCGAGCCGCAGTGAGTGTCCTCGCGCCGCCCGCCCGGCAGCCCGGCCGGCGCGCGCACGCCGCGAGCCGCTGGCGCCCGGGCTCCGCTCGACTCCCATGCAACAGCCAGGATGTGAAGCGGGGCAGAGCCGGGGGAGCCCAGCCCAGCCAGCCTCCAGGTAAACGGGCGGGGGGGGGGAATAAAACGCGAATTGGATTAAATAAAAAAAAACCTGCAGGCGCTCCGGTGGGGGTCTCGGAGGCAGCGGAGTGGGCAGCGCGCCGGCTTTGTGCCGGGAGAGCCTGCACGGCCATTGTGCTCGGAGGATGCTCCGCTGCAGCCGGCTGCACGCCCAGCCCTGCGCCTGGCTAGCGGCGTGCGAACAATGCCCCGGAGGGGCCGGGCCGGGCCGGCGGGGGCCGCGGGGAGGGCTCGGCGGGCGGGGCCGGGGGCTTCGCCGCGGCGGGGAGGGGGCTGGGCTGGAAGGGCCCGGAGCGCGGCTGGAAGCTGCCCAGCGCCGCCGGCTGCACCACCCGGGCCGCGGGCGGGGCGGAGGCGCGGAGGGGGCGCGCGCGAGTGTGCGGAGGGGCTGCTGGCCCCGGCGGCTCCGGCCCCGGCTTCCCGGGCGGGTCCGGGAGGCAGGGGGCGCTGTGCCGGGGGAGGGGGCTCGCGGGCGCCCCGGAGCGGAGGCCAGCCCGGGACCGGTGCTCCAGGTGGGAGCGAGGGCGGAGCGGCCGGGGCGCCCGGGGGGCTGCTCTGCCCGTCCCCGGCTCCGCAGGCCCCCGCCCCTGGAGACCTCGGACTCTACGCCGCCTCACCTTAGCGCCCTCCTGGCCGCGTAGGTCCCCGGGGAGGCCGCCCCCCCTCGCCCCGGCCGTGCCCCACCCTTCTGCGGCCCCGGCGCCCCCTCCCCGTCCCCCAGGCGGGGCGAGGCTCAGCCCCCAGCCCCAGGGACGCGGACGGACCGACGGACGGGTGCGCGCACCCGGCACCGACCTCCCCTCGGGGATCCCGGGAGAGGGGAAGCCGCCCCGGGAGCCGGCAGCCCAGGGGGTTTTGCGCGCCCCGGGAGCCCCCTTAGGGGCGGGGGGGAGGGGAGGTGACGTCATCCGGGGGGCGGAGCCGCCGGAACCCGGTGAAGGGGGCGCTGGGGGGGGGTGTGCCCTGAGGACAGCCCCCGGAGCCCGGGCGCAAGGCTTTCGGCCAAGTTCGCTGCTCCTTGTGGAAATCTCTCCCAAATTTACCGTCTCACTTAGCACCCCCCAAGTTCTGGTCACTTCCCTCCACCCTAAATCGGAGAACTCCCCTGCAGCCGCTTTTCTCCAGAATTCTCAAATCGGGGAACCCTTCTGCAAACTGGGATTTTTTTTTTTTTTCCAGACAACAGCCTGTGTCGCTCCCACACCCCCCCCCGCCCCCTGGCCTGGAACCTCCTCCTTAGCGACCCTTCCCCCAATTTCAGATTCTCCTCTGGTCGCCCTGTAAATGGGCAGCTTTTGAGAATACCCCTTTCTCAAATGTAGTCACCCCTTAGGGACCTCGTCTCCCAAATTAAGAAACCTCCCCAGCGCCTCCCAACAGGGGGACACCTCCCCTCCCCTTGCTAGGCTCAACTGGGATTTCCCCTGTATCCCCCATCTCACTCTGGGGGAGTCCCCATTCTGGAGCCCAGGGCCCTTCTATCGCCGGGGGAACCCCTGAAAAAAAAAAAACCGGCCTGGCCAGCACGGCTAGTGGAGGGGGGTGTCTGAGGCGTCCAGGTTGTGCGTCCGTTCTCACTCCAAGAAGCCCGGACAAAGCTGGAGGGTCCCCGAGAGTCCCAAGCACGGGGACCCACCTGCTGTGGGCCCCCAGCGGCCTCGGCCCAGACTTTGGCTGCTGGGGTTCTAGCTTTCCCGGCGTGGCCCCCATCACTGCTGTTCCTGGGGTGCAGAGGGCAAGGTCTCCTTTTGTTTGGGGCGCCCTGCTTCCCCCTCATCGCCGCCTCCCGCCTGCGAGGAGAGCCAGTCCGCGCCTCTACTCCTGCGCTACCAGCTGCTGCTGCTGCTGGAGCTTTTATTAATGGCCGAGGGATTCGGTGGATTGTGCTATTTGCATAACTCCCCTCCCCCTCCCAGGGTCCCTTCCTTTGTGCCCCCCTCCTCCTGCCAATCTCGCCCGCCTTCTGTCCCTCCGCTCTCTTCTTCCTCTGCCAGCTGATACTTTGGCTGCCGAAGGCGGGCAGCTGGGGCTGGGGGCGGCTGCTTCCCGCCCCCACCTCCCGGAGCCCACCAACTTGGACTTGGGTCTGGGCCGCAGCCCCCTGCCCCCTACGATGCCCTCCGCCCGGCCTCTGGGCTGCCTGCCACCGGCGTGCATCTCCATCATTCTTCTCCAGAAAGCTCCGTCCTGCCCCATCCCCTGGGCCCGGGGGGCACCTCGCCATGACGGTGCAGTTCTTGGGGCCCCGGCCCCCCATGGCCCCAGGGGGATGCCACGCGCCGTACTCTATTGCCCTGAGACTTGGTATAATTGGGATCAGGCAAACAAAACGTCGCGGGAGACCCGGCCTGCCTGGTGAGCTCATGTGCTTTTCTATTCCTGCCATCCTGGCCCCGATGACATCGGCCCCCCAGGGGGGTGACGGGGGCTGGTGCTGTCATGCCAGTGGCTGTCCTAGGGTAGAGGCAGTGGCCTGACCCACTCCCCACCGCCTGCAGGAGACGGGATGGGGCGTCCCGCTGTGGCCGGGTATGGCCTTGGAGGACGCGGCCCGGGTGGTCGCTGGGCTTCCCCGGGGATCCGTCCTTCCCCCGGGTCCCTTGCAGGGCCCTGAGCTGGCCGTGTGGGGGGTGCGGGGAGAGGGGTCCCGAGAGCCAGGCACCTGCCTGCTGCCCGCCCAGGTCATCAACCATGGCCCGTGCCTCTGCTTCTGTCCCTTCCGGCAGAGATTCCGAGCACCCTTCTTGCTTCCCTGTTTCCCAGGGGATTCCGGGTGTCTTCACCTGTCCCTGGGCCACACGTGGGAGACCTGAGGCATTTTTCTCCCAACCCTGGGACTGTAGCTCTGGATGTGAGGGTGTGAGGAGTGGGTGCGAGGGGAGGAGCTCCCTGGACGTCAAGGATAGTGGTGGCATCTGGGTGGGTAGTTCTGGAACCATCACCATCCGCCCATTTGCAGCCTCTTTGGGTCACACCGAGCTTGGAGCTCAGCCTGGGCTTCTTTGGACCCGGGGCCGGAGATGGATCTACCTCCACTAGCCAACTTTCCGGGGTGGTGGTGGTGGTGACTCAGTTTCCCTTCCTGCTTACTGGGTTGGCAGTGAGGTGCGTGTCACAGGCGTCAGAGTGCAGTGCTCATCTCCGACTGCCGCTGCCTGGGGCCGGGCGCCAGGAGACCTGTGGCTCCGCTGATTGCTCCAGCCGCCGAGTGGCCCGGACGATGGTCAGCGAGGTGGCCCGGGAGGGACGGGGGATGCGCGGGGATGACGAGGCTCCAAGGTGCAGCGTGGCATTTCCCCCCGATTGCCCTGCAGCCCTGCATTCACCTGCTTCCCGTGACTCGTACAGCCGCCGGGTAGGGGTGGGGGTGTGTGTGTAGAGAGTTCGGGATTGGGAGGAAAACCCTAAAAATAAAGGTGGATATTTATAAACCCAGTGGGTTTGGGGATAATTGACAAAGCTTAATGTTTTCAACCGAAAGCGATCCACCCCGCCCCCCCCCCCCGACTGCATTAGTTCCATTTGTAAAGTCATTGCGAACCAGTGGAAGGTTCTTGAAGCGAGCGAGTTGCGGGCTGTGGTCCCTTTCCAGGAGTCTTGTGCTTCTGGAGGGGAGGCAGGGGGCCCAGGCAGGGATGCTGAGACGCCGGAGTCCCCAGCTCTCTAGCGCATCCAGCGCAGCCTCCTGGCATCCCCTCCCGCCGGTGGGCATCCCGTTTCCCAGAATTTGCAAGAAGGAGGCTGCCCCTCTCCTGCGAAGCTGGCGCAGGCTGCCCTTGCTCTGTCCTTCCCCGCAGCAGAGGGTGCCTGGGTGGGGTGTTTGGAGAGACCCCAGCTGCCTGCCTGCCGGGCAGGGTGCCTCAGCCTCCGGTGGAGACGAGGGTGAAAGCATAACCGCCGTGCCTGTGTCGGATCCATGTGCCAATCCGATGGAAGACCTGCCGTGGGTCCCTGGACAAAGTCGCACCATCCGCCTGTATGGGGGTGGGGGGGGTGGGGGTGCAGGAAGGGGTCAAGGGCTTTTCAGATGTTTTTAAAATTTTGTCTTAGCCTCACCTGGCTTTGGTCTGGAACCAGAAAGCTGCCGGCTTGGATTGCATGGCTCGTGGGGCGGGGAAGAGGGGGCTGGAGGTTCAAGTTCATGTCACCCTGTCACAGGGAGGAGGGACAGCCCAGAGACAGACACCTGCTAGCTCTGAGATGCACAGGTGGCGCTGACACTGGGGTCTCTCACCACCACCATCCCCGCACCTGCCCCCCAGTCCAGGTTGTCACCCCCTCCCCAGCCTTCTAGAAGCTCTAGGTATCAAGTGTAGTATGTGGGGTTTTTTTTTTCCTTTAAGGAAAGAAAAGACACTCAGGGAAGAAGGAAAAAAAAAAAAAAAACCCCGACGTACCATTTCTGTCTTGTCTCTGGCTGATATTTCAGAAGCGTGGGGGGGTTGTGCGTGGGGAATATGAAAAATCAATTGGCTTACACTTCTGCAAAGGCGAAAATTAACGAGCGGGCGGGAGTGACTCATGGACAGGGCCTCGACTTTCGCACTGCCTCATTTTTGTCTTTCCTCTCGATGCCCTCCTCCGAGGAGACGCTGGTCCCCCCCGAGATGCTGGTTCCCCACCCGTCCCCGGGGCCCTGGCCAGACTGGACGTTGGAGGGGGTGGTGGGCAGTGGGGGGGGGCGTTGAGGGGATGGTATTCGAGTTCCCAGGAATCCCCTCCTCTGCTCCCTGGGATCCAGGCCTCCTCAGTCCTGTGGAGGCCAAAGTGATTCCGCACCAGAAAATACATCCAGGGTTTTGTCTGGCATTTGCGTGCCTGTGGACTTCACCCTGCTGTTGGGGGGCGGGGTGGGGGGGGAGGCTCGGAGCTTGGGTTTCTGGATTGCAGTGACCCCTCCTCCAAAAACGCCTTAACTGGGGCTCAATCACATTTTTTTTCCTTTTTTTTTTTTTTTTTTGAAGGGTTGAGAATTTGTCTCCAACTCTGTGGAACTCCCTAGGTGGTGTCTGTGGCTTTTTTTGAGTTGTAGATTTGTTGGTTTGTTTGTTTTTTAAATCTTTCCTGCTAGCCCCTTTTAGGAAGGCCAGGAGTCTCCTGCCCTGCTGGGAGAAGTGAACATCCCGACTTTTTCTCCTCCTGCTGGATTGTCCTGTCGTTCCCCCTACCCCCCATCTCCCTCTCCGGTGGCCTCACAGCTCTGCCCCTTGACCTCTCTGTATGGGAGCCTCCTGGCTTGCAGAATGGGGTTATGCCTCTGGCTTCAGGGTCCTGACTTCCGCGGCCCTGCTCTCCTGGAGCTGCGCAAACTGGCAGGTCGGTTGACCTCTCTGTTTTTTCATCTCTGAGATCAGGACAAGCCCAGCCCCCTTCCTGGCCCGAGCCAGGACAGGAGACAGATGCTTCTGGCAAAGCCCCTCCCTCTGTTCTCTCGGATGCGACCGCTGCTGGCCATGCAGGCCCTGCAGGCCCTGTGACGACACCTGGACCCTGTGTGGTGCAGTAGCGACAGCCCCAGAGGCCTGGGGGGCCTAGGACCCTGGGATGGAGGCAGGCTGGGTGCAGAGCGGCTGGGAGGATGCTCTATTGTCATGCTGTTGCGTGGGTAGAAATTCAGGGGTTCTGGGGAAGCGAGGTCGACGCGCCTGTGTGTGTATAATTTAATGCCGCTTATAATTAACCCCGTGATCAGCAAATGAGGGGATGTCGGGGGGATGATAATAGCCACTCCGCCTTATTTGGACTTGGCGCCGTTGCCGGGCCCTGTGCTGAGCAAGCACGCAAGGAGCGTTCTCATCGCCTTTAACCTTCACTCCCCCCCCCCCGCCGCCCCCTACCCAGCAGTGCAGTTTTTGAGCTCCAGAGCCCCATTTTGCAGAGGGGGAAACTGAGGCCCAGAAGGTCACATAGATGAGTGACAGAAAGTCTTCACCCAGGGCCACCGATGCTAGAACCTGAGGTCTTCACGCCTGGGCCTGGGAACAGGGGCCTGGGTCTCGTTTGGATGATGGTTCACCTGCTGGGGCATCTGGGGGTCGCTGTGGAGACCAGGTGCCTCCCTCGGAGGGTCAGAGCATGCATGCCAGGCTGGGGCTGCCTGGGGCTCGCATCCCCGCTCCGGCTGGGCCACGGGGCGAGTTGCTCAACTTCTGTCCTCCTGTTTTCTCGTCTGCAGAACGGAGGATAATGTACCCCTCGCGCGGCCTCGTTGGGGGGCCTAAGTGGATATGTGGAAGGTGCTGCGCTGACCTGCGGCTCGACCCACCTGGCAGGGGCTCCCCGGCGGCCCCTCATGGGGTCCAGCCTGGGAGAGCTGTCAGGATGACTCAGCCACTGCAAACTGGGGCGTTCCCCGTCACTGGCTGCCTAATCAAAGCCGCCCCACTTCTGCGGCAGGATCCGAGCCACAGGAGGCCCGGCGAGGCCGGTGGGGAGGGTAGGCGGCGGCCGCAGGCGGGGAGGGCACGGCGGAGACCCCGGGTGGCCCCCCACCCCCTAGCTTCCCGAGGCCCAGGGTGGGTCTGAGCGAGCACCCCGGGGTGACGTCTCCGCTTTGATGGCCGCCCCATGGAGGGGCACCCTGGAGAGGGGTCAGTGTGCGAGCTCGGCGCAGGGCCATTCATTCATTCGCCAGTTCGTTCGTTCGGTCAGTTAGCATCTGTTGCATACCGGCCGCTAGAGCACTCTGGAGCCAGACCTGGGTTCGAATTCCATCCGGCTCTGCTACGCACCAGCTGCGAGGTCCCTGGCTAGTTCTATAGCCGACCTGTGCCTCAGCGTCCTCATCTGTAAAATGGGTGCTTTGGCACGGCCTCACTCACGCTAGGGGTACGGTGAGTGATATAGGAGCTAAACTGTGCCTGGCAGATGGAGAGCTCTGTGTCCATTCTTTTTCCTTTTTTTTTTTTTTTTAATAAAAGCAAATTGAAATTAAATTCTGGGGATGCAGCGATAAACCAGGCAGTCTTGGTCCTGTGTTCCTCAGACCCTGCAGTTTACTGGGGGGTGTGGGAGGGACAGTGAGTATTTACATAGGCAAGGTGGGGTTCACAACAGTCCGGTTCTGCTGAGACCGGAAATCCAGGCGACACCCAGGGGGACACGGAGGGCCTTTATCAGGGGCTGACCTCAGGCGGATGCACAGGTGTCCGGAACGGCAGGTGTGGGAGGGGTCTCTGGTGGGAGAGGCGGGAGTTGAGTGGGTGGCCCTCCCCCCCAACCTCCTGGCCAGGCCCCCAAATGGCTCCCCAGCCAGGTCTGAGAGAAGCCAGAAATCCTGATTTTACATGAAATCGCCCCATTTTACATCCTTGGATCGTTTCTTTTCCTGCAGATGCCTGCTCTTGCTGATCGTGACCTCAACCCCTCCGTTGCCCATCGCTGGGCCTCAGGTGCCCTCCTGGGCCGTCCTACAGGTTTAGGAGCCACTGCCACCTGGATGGGTGGTTCGGAGGCCCTGGCGAGATAACTCGGGGAGGGCTGAGGACGGCCGGGGCCAGCGTCCGCGCTCGATAACTGTTGGCTCTGATTATATTAATATTGGTCGTCACGATAAACTTGACTTAGATGAAATGCCTCGCAGAAGGGAGCTTGCTGGTCCCGAGGGGCAAGGCTGTGAATTATCTCCTGGCTGCAGGACCTGTTCCTCACACGCTTGCCCTTTTTTGGAACGTAGCCGTTTGGTCTTGGGCCGGGCCGCTGGTCACCGGCATTAGCCGTCGAGTGTGTCATTGTGGTTTGTAACCCGAGGCGGTTTTGCTCCCCACGGGGGACACTGGGCCGGGTTTGGGGACATCTGTGGTCGTCAGGACGGGATGGGGGGGAGCATACTCCTGGCATCACGTGGGTGGGCCCGGGGATGCTGCTCAGCCCCCCACAGCACCTGGGATGTCCCCTGAAAATGATCTGGCCCTAAATGTTGATACGGCCGAGGTTTGGCCACCCCAACTGGTCCTGAAGACCTGCGGCGGCGGGGAAAGGCCGCGGGCAGCTGCCCGCTCGGCCGTGACCGTGTGCCTCCCACGCTGCGCCGCCTGCTGGACCGGAACGCCGGGATTACCGATGGGATCCCGCCGCACACCTGTCCCGGCCCCGCTGCCCGGTTGATTTGCAGAAGCGGGTAATTGCCCCTGACGTATGGATTCTGGAAAGCGTGGCCGGCCAGGCTTTCTGGCGGCGGTGCTGGGACTGGAGCACGGATTGGTGGCCACGGCCTGGCCTTTCTCCCTCCGTCCACCTGGCCCTGGGGACCTGGCCTCTGTCCCCACAGGGAAGGGCTTAGGGCGGCCTGAGCACTTCAAGTTGGACTCCTGACACCGGCCATCCCAGTTGTGTGAGGAGACCCGTGATTCCCCCCTCCCCAGCCCACCCCGAGCCTCGGTTTTCTCATCCGTAGAACGGGGACACGTCTTGCTGCGGCACGGGGATTAAACGGTGTCACGTGGATAAGCCCCCGACGGCCGGTTGCACGAACAGGGGCTCGGCGCCTGTGCCCTCCTACCCGTCATCTCCATGAGGAGGAGTTGGAAGGAGGTGAGGATCCCCCCAAACCTTCAATTTCCCAGACGACCGCAACAGGGGAGACGCTGCCCAGACAGGTGTGGGATCCCGCAGACACACGCCTGGGCCTCCGGCTTCGCTCCCGTTTTCTCCTTTCACCCTGAGAATGGCCCCCAAAGTGGCAGCCGTTGCCACCACGTTGCTGGTGGAGAAACGGAGGCCTGGGTGGGGATGAGAAGCTGGAATAACTGGTCTTTTCTTGGGGCCGCCTGTCCGCCCACAGGGGGGCGGGGGGAGGCCAGCGAGCCCTGCACTGGGTAATGGTCTGTCCGTGCTTTGTGGAGCTGCTCATGTTTGCACCCGGGGCTCTGCAGGGCTCTGTGGGGTTCTGCACGGGCCGCACGGTTAGGTGGCAAATGCGTGGCCGGAGGCTGCTGCTCACGGCGATCGGAGCCCAGGGTCGGGGCGGGGGCACGGCGCTGTTGGCCAGCCTGGGTTCCAGATCTGGTCCAGAGCCTCTCACGAGCAGTGTGACTTGAGCAAAGCCGCACCCCACCACCCCTGTTGCCAGCCAAGCCCCTGCAGGCTTCCGCACCCCCTCCCGCCGCCCTCTCCCCCCACTCCTTCCGCACCAGCCACGTGGACCTTCCTCGCTGCCACCTCCATCCCCGGGTCCTTGCCGTTCCCTCCGACAGGAGCTCCGTTTCCGGCCAGGCCGGCTACTCCGCCAACGTCCCCAGCGCTCTTATTTTTACTTTCTCAGTTGCTGTTTTATACTCGGTCTGCCTGTCCTTTCCAGAAGGGGAGTCCTCCCAGGCCCTCCCCAGACCAGCCTGCCTGGCTTCTGAGAGCCTCCGCCACCCCCCACCCCACCCCACGCTGGCATTGGTGTGTCTCATGGTCCATCCGGATGGGGCAGGTCGTGGTGGGGAAAGCTCACTGGGCAGGGAGGCCAGGAGAGCAGGTCCCCAGTGGAGGTGCTGTGTGACTTCGGCCACTTGCTTGCCTTTTCTGAGTCTCTGCATGTCTCTGGCGTCTGGCACAGGAGTGGTGGGGAGTGGCTGCTGAGAGCCAGGGGTCCTGAGGATGGGGCTCAGGGGGCCCTGGACAGTCTATGAGGTTTCCTGTCTCCCGGGGAGAAGGTAAGAAGCCCAAAGGCCAGAGACCACCCCCCCCCCAATGCATAGTCGCCGGGCCTGGTGATTTTGAGACTCAGTGACCCCCAGCATTTGTTTGATACCCTGTGGGTCTGTCCAGATGGGTAGAGAAGTTGCCAAGGAGCCCCCAGAAACAGGCCAGGATTTCTGTAGAGGAGCATCCGAGGACCCGCATTCAGGTGTCGGCTTGGGCATCCGAGGACCCACATTCAGGTGTCGGCTTGAGCATCCGAGGACCCACATTCATCTTGAGCATCCGAGGACCCACATTCAGGTGTTGGCTTGGCCTCATGAGCATCGTGTCCCCGGGTCAGCAGATTCATCCCCCGGGGCCTCTGTCTCCTTGTCTGTAAAACGGGAGTGGGCCTGTTTGGAAAGTGCTGGTCTGCCCAAAGCCCCCCGATAGCTGGCTAAACGTCGTCCCACACTATGGTGGTTAATACCTTCCGGGAGCGGCTGGGGGTGGGGGACACCCGCATACAGGACTTCAGTGGACAATGGGTTTGGGGCCGCTGGGCAGCGGTGGTTGGGCCCCCATCGGACTCCTCCCAAGGGCGTCAAGTGAGGCCCGGAAGCCTCCCCGCGGTAGAGCCGAGAGCAGGCTGGCAGGGGGCTGGTGGCAGCCCCGGGCATACAGAACCGCAGGCCACGCTGACGCTGTGATCACGGGGACAGGAGGCTGCCCCAGGACCGCCTGAGCCGCCGCGGGGCAGCCCATCACGCCAGCGTGGCCGGGGTACGTGGCGGGCACTGGGGTGACCTCGTAGACCTGTGCTTTGGTCACCCTGCGGGCGGCATCGAGGCCTCTGGACTCCCTGGCCAGTGCTCCGCCAGGCACCTGCCACTTTTCAGCCATCCCCTGTGATGTGTGTGCCTTTTGCGCCCTAATGGTCCCCCCCCCCGCCCGTCCCCAACAATCACCGTCTTTGAAGCCATCTCTTTTAAAAACAACTTAAAAGAGAAAACTTTGGTGTCGCTCTCATGAATGGGGGACCTGGTCCGTCCTTGACACAAGCAGGTGGAACCTTAAAAATAAACGTGATGAGAGTAAAAAATAAAGTAAAATAAAATAAAATAAGGTAAAATAAAATAAAGTAAAATAAAATAAAATAAAATAAACCCCTGACGTTAGGTCACGTTGCTGCCGCTGCAGGCTTAGTGCACAGGCCAGGGGCGACTAAGGCGCGAGGCCACGTCAGCACCCGCCGCACACGTCCAACGTCCGGAGGCCGGAGGGAGCCAGGCACGGGGGCAGCCCCCTTGCTGGCCACAGTCTGTGCCACCCAAGGCGGTGCAGGTGCGTGGGGTCTCGTGGCTGTGCCGGGCGGCTGGGTGCCCTCCCGCCTCCCTGGCAGAGGTGCCTGGCCTTCTCCCTGGCATCTGAGTTTTCTTTCCCGACGGTCTGGGGAGAAGGTTATTTCTCCCTGAATTCAATTAATGAGCCTATTAAAAACTATTTATTTTCCCTGACAGTTGTTTACTGAGGAGAAGGAGATGGATTGGCCGGGCGGCCTCGCCAGGCAAGGCACAAGGCAGGACGGGGTGGGGGGATGCCGGGTGCCCTGGGCCCTGGCACTTTGGGGAGGCGCGGACTGTAGGTGGGGGTCCTGCTCCTGGGGAGCCGGGAAACGCGGGCTCCAAACTTGGGCTCCGGCCGCTGTTTCCCACCTCGGGGTCTTTGGGGAGGCAGAGCCGGGGACGAGTGAAAACCACACAGGTCGTGGAGGCAGGGGGCTGGCTCCAATGACCTCGTCTTCTGCCCACCCCCCCCGCCCCGCACCCCATCCTCGGGCCGGGGATGCACTGGTTTGACACCTAAAGCCTCACCCCGTCGCGCCTCATGTTTGTGGTGGGGTCTCCCCATATCCCTTCACCTCCCCTCCTTGGCGGTTGAAGTTCTTTTTTTTTTTTTTTTAAGTTTTTTTTTTTAATTTTTATTTATTTATGATAGTCACAGAGAGAGAGAGAGAGGCAGAGACACAGGCAGAGGGAGAAGCAGGCTCCAGGTACCGGGAGCCCGACGTGGGATTCGATCCTGGGTCTCCAGGATCGCGCCCCGGGCCAAAGGCAGGGGCTAAACCACTGCGCCACCCAGGGACCCGGCGGTTGAAGTTCTACAACTAATCTGGACACACGGCCACCTGGTCCGGGGGAAAATAAATTTTTTTCCAAATACACATCATCGCTGTCTGTGCTACGTGGTTCGGTGCCGTCCAGTAAGATAGGCCAACAGAAAGTCCCGGAAATGCCTTTGAAGGGAGCAGAATGTGCTCCCTTCTACCCGCCCTCCTTCCCCAGCTGGAACACGGAGGTGATGGCAGGCATTGGGGCAGCTATTTTGGACCAGGAGGCAGGTATCTCAGGTAAGACAGGGGGAACAAAAAGATGAAGGATCCTGAGTTCTGGAGACTGTGAGGTGAGCCAAATAGCCCTGAAAGGTCAACCTAGGAGCTTCCTTTACGGGAAGACAGGAATGATGCCTCCCCTGTGAGTTTTTTGGCACCTGAAGCCCAACTTGGTCCGATGAGTGGTAGTACATGAGCTTCCAGACACAGTGCTCTTCTTCTATCCTTCAGGGTCTCTGCTTGCTGGGGAGCGAGGCCTCCTCGATCTCCCTCGTAAGGTCCGCAGAATCATCATTTGCAGAGTGACGGGTGGGTGAAGTAATCGCTTGCAAAACCCGCCTCTGCCCCACTCCTCGTCCGGCCCCTTACCTGCCCTGATTTTCCACGAAGCACCTGCCACGGGCTTCAGTGTTGTAGGCATCTTACTCATCATCTGCCTCCCGTGTGGGCTGGGACTCCCCAGGGAGGCATTCCCCCCCTTCCCCCCGCCGTGTCCCCTCCGGTGTCCCCTCCGCCGCTGTGGCCACAGCAGCAGCACCTTGCACACAGTAGGGCTCCATAGTTGTGTTTTGCATTAAATGGGCCTCTGCTGGCGGGGGGGCGGGGAGGCGGAGGCCCTGGGATGGGGTGCCCGAGGTTTTCCAGCTGGCTGGTGGCTCCCCAGCTCTCCCCGGTCCCCCCCCAGAGTCGGTCAGTCCCCGGCGGCAGCTCCTGATCCTTCCTCTCGCCCCCGTGTTCTCACCTCGCCTCCAGAAATAGCCCCTTTAAAATAGCCGCGTCCCCACGTTCCCGGGCCTCTGCCTGCCTACGGTCGTGACGCGTGCTGACGGGCCGGCCTCCTTATTGCTGGGGGATTTTTAAAAATATAATTGGTGTTAGGTGGTGTTTTTTCCCCCCTTTTATGCCCAGAGATGCCCAGCCATCGACAGGACTGCTTCCCTGTCCCCGACTCTTCCCTGCGAGGTTTTCATGTCGCTGGGGATGCTCCCTTGAGCCACGGCTCCCCCGCAGGGGTGGGGGTGGGGTGGGGGGGTGGCATCTGGTTTGTGGGGCCTGCAGTTCCAAATCTGGCTGGGAAGCCCCACGTTGGAGTCCCAGTGCCTTCCCTCTTGCTGGCTGGCTGTGTGACCTTGGGCAAGTGGTCGGACTTCTCTGAGCCTCGGTTTACTTGTTTGGAAATGGGACCAGTCAGGGTTCGGTCAGAGGGTGGGGCTTGCCTGAGCCTTGGTTTACCTGCCTGCGAAATGGGGACATCTCAGGGCTTAGGCAGATGGCCGAATCTCTCCGAGCCTCAGTTTATCCTTCTGCAAATGAGACGCATGAAGATTGCCCTCCGGGGCCCGGCCCACTGGGTTTCCTCGAGACGTGAGCCAAGCTCCTTACGACACTCGATCCCCGTGGAGTGAGCGCCGCCACCCCTCTGAGGGAAGGATGGAGCAGAGGGAGCAGCAGCTCTGGGCCTGCCACTTCTGGGGAACCTTCAGGAAACCGCTTCCTCCCGCAGGGACTCGGTTTTCCTCATCCTTAAAAT